TTGTTTGTTTGCTCGCTTGTTTGTTTGATTCTTTGTTTCTTTGTTTCTTTGTTTCTGGCATCCTGCCTAGCGAATGTCAGCAGTCACTAGTAGTCTAGTCCCCTAGAAAGGGACCATCTGCGAAACATGCTATCGGCCGGTTGATGCACAGACATTGCTGCCAAACTGGCGGTCCGTGCTAACCGTCTGCGCAAACAATCAGTACAACCGGAAACCCGGACCAATACGTCTCGACTCTGACATGTCCTGATCCCGGAAGCCGGGCAGCCTCCGAGGGTCGATCCAAGGCCTCTTGCCGCAGCTCTTCGACCATCCTCCTCGTGAAAACCAGAGCTCGAGGAAAGACTACCAGACTATCATGGGCATCGATGGACAAAGGGCCAGAACAAGCCTGAATTCTGAAAGTGCCTAGTCCAGCTGAGTTTCTGCAAGCTCTCGATGTGGTACTGAGCTGCATCCCGGGCTGCTCGCTCCTCCTCCAGCTGCCTTCACCAAAGGAATCTGTGTCAAACGAACGCCGGGCCCCGCAATGAATTTTGCCCAAGGGACCGGGCCAGGCCCTGAACTTCAAGAGCGCGCTGCTCTTCGACCTGCAAAAACTCACGCGCAGGTCGAAGAAATTAAAGTTTAGATGCGGGGCTTCTGAAGAACACTCGCCACACAGAGCCTTGCGGAGTGCAGCACTGGCCCTCTCCCGCAGCGTTGCCAGCTCCTGATCCTGCGCCATGCAGTTCAACGGCAGCTGCAAGATCCGACCCTGCAAGAATCTTGCTCCCGGAGTCCTTGGCCGCTTCCATCTGTCGCAATCGGGCTTCAAAGACTGCTGAAGCCTTCTGCAGTCCCAGCGCCAGGTCCTCTCCCGAAAGCGCCTACTCGGCTCGTAGGCAACTCGACCGAAAGTCCTGTTGTTTGCTGTGGCTCATAGGATGGAGCATCGTTGCTGGCACTTGTGGCCGGGGGCCGGAGGCTCTTCGGCACGGGCGCAAGCTTGGATGCTCGAGCTGTTGTGCTCGAGCGCTGTTTTGCTCCAAGCTTGTCGCTGCAGCATGCTACATGCGACATGGATCTATGATGATCTATGTGCACAGAACTTCAGCTACGAGGCTTGTCGTTCTTGTCGCCAGCAAGCTTCAAGTGGTTGCTGACAAGGCGTGAGACAGTTACATGTCGCCCTGAGAGGTCGCGGCGGCTGCAGAATCACATATCGCGGCTTCAGGATCGTCACCAGTACACAGGTGCACCATGTTGAACCCAGCGGGCACAAAGGCGAATTCAAACGCCGGAGACATCTGAAGTTACTTCAAGGAGCAGCTCCAACAAAAGCTAGCCCGAGCCATGGGAAAATATCGGAAGGCTTTGTCACAGCACAGCGGAGCACCTCCAAGTCGTCAATCTGCTGCCTCGAAATATGGAACCTCGAGTATCGAGTACTGCACCGAGCTCGACTCTCCCTCTTTCTTTGTCTGTCGCTGGGGCAGCAAAAAGGTCGCCCCCTGCCTGCGCTGGGGCGCACCTCGACGTGTCGTCTCGTCCTTCCTTCCTCTTCTTGTTCTTACAGGCTTTAGGGCCCTGTAGGTCCACCCGATTGCGATCCCGCACAGCCATTGGTATGGCTGGTTCCCTTCCTTCCTCTCTCTTGCTTGCTTGCTTGCTTGCTTGCTTGCTTGCTTGCTTGCTTGCTTGCTTGCACTCCCCTCTCTCTCTCTCTCTCTCTCTCGCTCTCTCTGCCTCTTGCTCTCTGTTGTGCTTCTTTTGTTTGTCTTCTGGGGCTTCTTGCTTGCTCTAGCTTCCTTTCTTTCTGCAAGGCCTGGAGGAAACTCTATCATTTGCTTATGCATGCGAGCTACTGGAAAATCAACGCAAGCATCAGCTTATAAGTCGGATTATTCGTTGATTCGTCATTAAGTCGACAAGCCCGCGACGCTACAGCGTTGTCGCAATGATGCTAAGATGAGTTTCGAGAAGACCTCTCAACAAAACTTCGGCTGAGCAAGTGTCATGCCCGCTCTCATACTGAATGGCACATGTGGGGGCTGTAAGGCTTGTTTGAAGACTACCGTCTCTCCGCAACTCACCACAGAGTACGTACATCTGACTCTCTCTCTCTCTCTATAGCAGGTGGGGAGAGCTGGGGCGTGTCCAATCCCAACCCTCCGCGCGTGTGCGCGCACCTGCGGTCCACAGGTGTCTTTCTCTTTCTTTCTTCGGCATGGCTAGGGGCAGTGTCTTTCTCTCTCTCTCTCTCTCTCCCTCGCTCTGCCAGGTGGGGAAGACCAGGGAGCGTCCTGCCCTAGCTCTCTCTCTCTCTCTTTCTCTCTCTCCCGGGCATGGGG